TAGGTTTTCCCGGCCAATGTCCTAAAATGTTCATTCACTTCTGAAAATCGGTCATTCATTTTCGTCTGAATTTGAGAATCGCTCTGAACACGCGTTTCATTTTCGCTACCAGAGCATTCGATTTCATTTCAGTTCAATCAATAATTAAGTGATTGAGCAGCACCTATCGTTTATGTCCATTTCAGATTTGTTTACAAGATTTCTTTTTCACTGTTAGAGGGCGATTTCAAATATTCACCATTCTATTTCACTTTTAGTTTAATGCCATCGGCACCAGATCCAACTAGGGGTTTCTTTTTCATTAACCGTCAATCAAATTAGCTGTACCTGAAATCAATTTAGAAAAGGTGTATGCTTGCGTAAATGAATGCACAGGTAAACGTAATTGCCCGTCTGTTTCTCAAAACCGAATGTACGGACAATGAAAACGATTGAACATTCGTTGAATTGAAATGGGATAAAAGACGTGCATTCAAATTCAGACGAAAACGAATGACCTATTTTCGAAGTTAATGAACATTTCAGGAAATTGGCCGGGTAAACCTATAATATCCGGGGCGCGCTTAGACTAGCCAGACAAAAGAAGTTTTATTTCTGTGAAAAGTACGTGTCGCCATTTCGCTGCAGAGTGTATACTCCCTTTTAACGTTGATTACTATGAATCACCTGCCATTATTACAACTCATCAAACAGAACATCGTTTTTATCTTTCTTTTCCCTCATAGCTGGTAATGTCGTCAAGGCTGCAGTACCATCCATTCTCCTATTAGTCAGCGTGGCGGTTTTCCTGCACTAACTCGTGTAATGACGCATTCGTCGTTACGGGCAGGTGAATGGGTGATTGTGACAAACCATGTAATAAACCATGGCGAAAGCCATGGTCTATTACATTTGAGCAGATTCACCGATTAATTATGCAAAACAACCGCATCTTGACCTCTAGAATTTGACCAATCAGCGGGCGCTTTCTATATCGTGTCTTCGGTCGTTGCGCGTCACAGACATGGATAAAAAAAACACCTGTGTCACGCGCTCTGTATCATGTTACGCGATCAATGCGCCCGGCTGTTGTTGTATTACAAAACACTGCATTCGAATTGACCAATCAAACCATTAGTCCTGATTTTGGGGAAAATGACGTCACGATTTAGTTAAATCGACTCCGATTGGCTGGCGCGCAAGCTTGCATACACACACGGACACACACGGCAAGCGTGGGACAAGACCTTATATGACTAGTTCACTAAAAACACCTTCATTTATGAATATGAGTGGAAGAACTGAGCTCTTACTTTTTAAGAAAGACATATGGAGAGGGTATGGATTTAAAAGAATGATGTAAACTATTCCAGTATGAGATGCCTCGACGAACAACACTATTATAGACACTGATCAGCAGCGTATCCAGCTTTTGCTGTCGGGGGGGGGGGGGGGGGGCCACCGCACATCCGCGCAGAAATGCACACATGTTTTTTTCTCCGGAAAATAAAAAAAAAACGGGGGGGGGGAGGCTGGTACCCATCTTCCAAATGGGGCGCTCTTCAAAACTGACCGTTATAATGCCAACTTTTCACGGTGCGTTGTAATGGTTGTTGAGCGGGTTTTCTTTTGTGGGATTGATGTCAGAAAAACAAAAAATTTAAATCATTGCTGACAAAAAAATTTGTCAACAAATCCGTCGGGGGGGGGGGGGGTGGGCAAAGTGCCCCCGCCCCCCTCCCCCCCCCCCCCCCCCCCGCTGGATACGCCACTGACATTGATGTTCTGTTAAATTGGACGTACACATTTTCCTAGCGCTACTTCGAGTATTATACACATGAATGTTAGATGTTGAGGTGAAACAAGAATTAAAACAGGGAGGGAGTAAATTATTCATAAATTTATACATGAATTTTCCAAGATTAAGGTGGTATAAGTCATTACATTGTAATATATTTAATTTAGCAAAAAATGGAGCAGAACGACCACGGTGGCCAGCATTCGAAACTAGATCTCGCCATAATTTATTCATCCCGTTTACCCGCACCCTATATTCAAGTTCTACTCTCCGTTTCCATGGTCCCAGTTTGTGGAGCACAACTGACAACGAAAAGCCATGAAAATTAGCCACATATTTTGTTTTCACACAATACGTCGTATCGCTTCATCGTAACTATTCATTTTGTCTCGGTTTTCCAGGGCCCGTCTCGTGTTCTTTTGTCTTGTGCTTTTTTTCCCATTTGACTGTTTGTTTTCGTGTGTTCCTATTGTTTGTGTATATTGTCCTGTATTGTCAGTTTGTGCGTAAGGCTGTTCTCTACAAGCTTCAGTTTACATGAACAGCCCCATACTGTTCACTCTCCCCTTATATTATTTAGTCGTTTGTAATTACTATTACGTGTTCCAATTCTATAGATCTTAAACAAATATGATTATTTCAATAATTAGTTGTTTTTTTTCATTGTTTGCTTCCTGGCTTGCTTGCTTGCTGCTTTGTTTATGGCATTCAAAGCAGTAAAAGATCTCAATACGTAGATATTATCTTCATGTTGTCATGACTAACATGTGACTAAAAACAATGTACATGCAATGTTATGGTGTTTTTTGCAGCATTCGTGTCAGCTGATTCTTAGAAATTTAGAGACATTTCCTGAGAGAAATTGTACGCTTAATTGGAACCTGTAAACCCAGATAACTATCTATTTAAAGAGACACTGACTTTATTTTCAGCAGAATGTTCGTGTTCCTTCATGATATACAGTCTCTCAGTTATTCTAAACAGTTTGAGATTTTACCTCAGAACTATTGTAATTGATTTTACTGTAACAAGTTCATGAGATTAAGCACAATTTGACTTCTGTTTTGATTCTTTGTTTTTATTGATTGCCGGCCCTTGGCGTCCTAAAAACCTAATCATTTGCGCCGACCTCCTTAACGGCGTACTCGCTACAAAGCGGCGTCGTAGACAGGATATAGGGTAGAAGTTATTTACCTGCTAAAGTATTATTTTCTGCCACGTCTTCGCGTACCTCTACAAGTACAAAATTCAGGCAATCAGGCCCTGTGTTATTTGAAAGCTATTCACGACGGAAGTAAATCGGCGCGGCGTTGGCAACCAGTGGAATCCCAGAAGATGAGAAAATGCTGCCTCCCATCATATTTGGTGTCTGTGGAATGCCGGTATGTCATGGCTGCCACTACAGCCAAAACATTACAGGTTATTGAGCTGCTTGGTGCAGATATAATGCAAGTCAACTATACATCTTGCCAAATATGGTTTCGTTATTTTATTCAGTGATCAAACACGGCGTGTCACAAAAGGCGAAACCCAAATGTCGGGACTATTTTTTTTAGTGAAGTTCTGCATGTAGCACTTTTAAAATCTAAGATATGAAAACCCAATTCATAAGCTTTCCTTTAGTACAAGAATCATTCAAATCACTTAAGTACTTTTCAAGTTACGGAATTTTAAACACAACCACCGTTTCGAAGTTCTGTCCCCGGATCACAAAAAAAGGTGTGCGTTCTTACAACAAAATGAAATCTATTCACACATATCCCAATGTGATTTGTTTTCCTTTTGCTGAATGAACACTGACCTTCTTGTGATCTGTGGACAGATCTTTAAAATAGTGGTTGTGTTAATAATTCCGTAACCTGAAGTGTACATAAATGATTTGAATGATTCTTGTACTAAAAGAAAGCTTATGAGCTTTCATATCCTAGATTTTGAAAGTGCTACATGCAGAACTTCACTAAAACAATAGTCCCGACATTCGGGGTTTTTTTTACTCTCCCTGTTTATCAACTCATGATAAACTCATTGCAAAATACAAAAACAATGGAGACGAATACGCACTTGGCATCATTTAATTTCAGTAGCAAGTGCATTTTTTGTCTCATTTTTCTTTAAGACCGACCCTACTTCAGAGGCAAGAAAAATGAGAACCATAGAAGTAAACAGGGACGCCCGAAGCTAAAAAAGAAATGAAACTCCGAGTGTGTTTTACTCTGCTTTAACATCTGCTTTCCCGACAGCAGAAAAAAGATGCTTAGTTTTTGTTCCCCATTCCCACGGTTTGACTTATAGTTTATAAGCTACTAGCTGACCCGAACCTCTTGACCTTGTCCTTGCGATTAAATGCTGACAATAGACGAGGCCTCAACTTGTGTTGTTCTTTCCATTCAAACGCAGTTTCTGAAAGTGGGTGTTTTGTTAACTGGTGTTAGGTGTATTTGCATGCACTGAGTGAACTACTGCAGTGGCTAAGAATATATAGGGTCTATGCCAGAATATTGTAGCCAAAAATCAGACTTTGTGTCGTGGTTATGCCTGCCATATTAAACTGCAATGGACATCTTCAAAGAAGTGAAAACAGTATCATGTTCTTCTCAACAGTACTTTTGTAGCTTTTGCATTAAAGCAAACAGCTAAGTGCACCTTATTGTCTTTTAAATGTTCTATATACTGTTGCGGGTTTGTATTATACAAAATCAATTCTTTTTTATTCAGATTAAATCAAAAACACACACTTACATAACACTTCAAGAGCAAATTGAATGACAAGTCGATCTCTGAGTGTGGAATAACTTCAAAAGCCATTTTCCTAGACATACCCGGGGTCCAATACCCAATTAAATTTTCATTGGTTACATTAGTTTATATTAAAGGTCACAATTTTTAACCCGATTGTTCATTCTTCCAAGTAGAAACATGCGTTTCAACTTCCTTACAAATTCTTTTAGATGATGTTATCTTTTCAAAATAGTTCGGCCCATTCACAGATATTATACACACACATATTCAAAGCGAGGTGTTGATTTCGTACAATTTTTGTACTAATCTTGCCCAAGGTTAGGCGGTATCGGTTTTTATCCGCAGGAGGAACGGTATACAATGTACCGACCATGAAACGAAGCACACAAAGTACTGTACCGTCCGTGCATTGGCTACTCGTGTCCCGCTTGCACCCCCCTTGCTAGTAGCTACGCGCACTGCCTGTCCGTATTTTTTTTATGAACATGTATATCCGCCAGGCTGATGGATCATACGGACGGTTGCCCCCGCATTGCATGCCCGTATGTCAGCCGCGCGGGAGGGCGTATCGCATATGCAAAAACCTGCTCAAACACTGAGAACCGACCAGACGGTTCACACCGATAAAAGGGAATCGATGATAATCCCGACTTCTTATCAAGGCTACTTCACCTCCGATTTGATGTCTTCGTTCTTTGGACTGTACGTCCATGCAGTGTCATTATTTTATTATTTTAGAGTGTCCACGATCCTATCTAAGGCCGTTAGTGGCATCATGGTGGCATCAATCTCCTACAGGAAACACAAACTATTCTGATGGGCAGGTTACCGCCGCCATGCATCCAAGGAAGTACATGTACAAACTAGTGCGCCCGTAAGCTGAAGCGAAGGCCGCGGTTAAAGGTAATTTGTAATGTAAAGTAATTTGTAATTAAATGTATTTTTTTTTAATGCTATCTTTTAAAATATACCTTTGTGTCCCATTCAACCTTATTTTCAATTTTCATTTTGCCATTTTGAAGGGTAAACTTGTGCCTTTTTGGTTTGTATGCTAATAAATACGAATTTCCATATTCATGAGCAAAACTTTGATGTCACTCTGGGCACAAACCTCAATGTTCCAGCTATTTCAGCGCAAAAAGTTGCTTGAGTTTGGGATTTTGCTGTCACAAATTTCCTTTGCTCAGGTGACATTCGTGGTTGTGTACATGGCAGTAAGCCAATGAGCAACCCCTTTCTCACATAATGTTTTCAATGAGCAACTTCTGGGTTCACAATTTGAACAGAATAACCTAAACTGAACAGTGTCTTCCTGAAATGACATCACAGTAACAGCGCCCTCAGTCAGGGTGACCATATTAGAAGATTTTTCGGCTAGATCTTGCAGATCGTTTGCAAAAAAAAAATTTGAGAAATAGTAAAAAATCTAGCAGAATGAAATAGGCCTACTGAAATACTGGAATAGGCCTACTGATATGACTGGATTGTGCGTAGGCTATATGATGTTCACACGTACACAGTGAGTGCTGAATCAAAATTTGACACGTTTTTTTGTTCACATACGTAAACTATATTATGATGTTCTAAAAGAACGCGTTTTGCGGTAATTTTGAAATTGTTGTAACATGTACATGTGAATAGAAGCATGTTTGATGTATTTTGTGTAATTCTAGGTGATTTAGCAAATGTTTTTATTCTAGCAGAAATTTGAATTGCATCTAGCAGAAATTTGCGATTTTTATCTGGTCACCCTGCCCTCATTTTGTTCGGAAAAGCATGGACAATTTTAAATGTTTAAAAAGTGCACCTTTCAATAACATTAACCAAAAAGGGATGTCAAATGATTTTCATACATGTAAGAGGATTAGAAAGTTGCACAAAACGTGTTCCTTAGAAAAAGTAATCGCATGACCCTTTAAATAAAATCAAGTTTATCTCATGCGAGCTTAGCGCAATTGGGCCGTCACCAACGCCTTTGGGAAAGGCGACAGGTAGTAGCGAAAGAAATCCTTTTTGAAATTCACCAAAGGTACTTGTGCAAGATAAACAAATAAACCAAACAAACAAAGAAACCAAACGATTTCTTACCCCGCGTTATGGGACGAACCGTGCAAATTACACTCGATCTTTCATGTTATCCCCAAACGTTTCGAAGCGGATGGCAGGAGCTATGACACCCCGTCGGCTGCTGTCAGCAGTGGTAGTCTTCAGTATTATCACGACTTTTGCCGGTTATCTTCAATTGAGACGTGAGTTGAAGTCGTCGTATCAAAGTCGTACATTGGAAGAGACTGGATCTAACGGTAAACGGATCATCGGCATGACCGTTAAGACTCGGACGCCTGAGATTACTACTGAGGAGACGGGATCTCAAGTAGACGGGGTTTCATCACAGCGCTGCAAGGGGAACTGTAGTGAGTAAGTTAACATCATCGTCATCAATGTAGATGTACTGATATAATTTGCAGAAATCTCTCTCATTTGGACCCACTCTCCCTTTGTTGACTGAACTTTCAAAAACGACCAATTTGAAAACAACTGTGCAATATTGGCCATATGTTTATGAAGCGGTGGGCTTGCAGTCGGCGCGGTAGTTATTTAGGCTAGTTGGCTTGTGGGGCGCATATGAATTTTAATTACAATCTTTTAAACTCTCGGAATCACCTTAACAAGTGTAAAACCAATTGATGCCACGTTTTCCCGACTATTTCTTTCCAGAGCCATTTTTAAAACGTGGGTGCAAAAAACACACAATTATTTTTAATCATATATCTTTGCTACTCTGAATTTGGCCAAGATGCTACTTCATACGAGTAAACAATTTTCCCAGAATTTTGCCTCTTTTTAGGGTGGGGAGCATTTTTTGGCGCAAAAGATGTAAACCTATAAAAGCAAATATCGGTATGTGTTTATTCATTCAATTTTTGGCCGGGGTAGGCAGCACATTTACATGTTAAATAGGTTTTATTGCTTGTTTATTTATTTATTACATCTCTTTACCCAGGGCATGTCCAAACAGTTTAAAACTGGTTTCCATAGGGGGCCTGCATACAATACAAATGAATACACACATGTACAAATACACTAGCATTACAAATAAAATACAGTGCAATAAAGTAAAAGGATGTGGGATTAACGCATAATGTTAAGCAACTATTGTAAATATTGTAAAACTATTACATGTAGAACCAAATGTACAGTGTGAAAAAACATCGCTAACAGGCTTTACTACAAGGTGAATTATGTGAACACAGGGCGCATCATCAATTTCCTCTGTAAAAAGGGGCACATCTGGTATAAGAACAAAAGCCAACAATCTAACCCCATTGTAAATTTTAAAGCAATTAATTAACCAAACACGGAAAGCTGGTTAATGTTCAGAATTCAGATGAAATTCACAACACTTTCCAAAAGAAGGAGGAACGAGTAATTTTAACGATGGGCAGCGTTAGAAAACGAACCAAATGCAAGGAGATTTTTTTTTAGCAAGGACAATATATCGAGCGTACCGGCGCTAAAATAGTAAGTGTTCTGGTTCTGGTTGTTACTGTGCAAACACCTCTTAAGTGGTTATCTCGCACAGGGTCGGTAGGTCGGATGCAAATTGTTGTGATCGTTTCCCAAGGTACTAGCTGGTGCCAGCGCTATTGTTTGAATATACCTGGCTTCATTTTCTTTACCAGCCCACCGGGCAAGTTATTGAGCACCATTCACTAGCTCCACAGTTTTTTACTAGACATTGTACGCCGGGCTAACGTTAAGGTCGAGGCCTGGTTCAGGCTGAAATTCGCAATTGAATACCTCCATTCAATCAGCACAAACAAAATTGGCAACAACAAAAAAATCCGACCTACCGACCCTATTTTTGAAAGGCATGTAATTGCAAGCAGAAGTAGGGCCCACATTTCTGTGTTGTCTGATAATTCGGGGAACTATAGCAGTTGATACCGCCGAACATAGATGAATGTACCCCAAAATTGCGATTGCTCATTCCATCCACACATGAGATTTACGCAAAATTTTATTACGTCCAATTTACAAGCACGTGTGTGTGATTAGAGCATGCATGTACATGTACATACACTGTATTTTAGCTAGTAACTACACGGATGGATCAGCTAATGTTTTCCTTGCTTTAACGGCACCAGAACCCCAAACCGTCTTTTTCTTTCAAGTCATAATTTCTGCTAATTGAAGTGTTGCCATATACCATGGTTCTGGTATCGTGGTATTATTTGCCCTATTTGCCGCGAACGTATACATTTAAATCCATGCGTGAGTGTGTACATGTAGGTACGGGTATCCTTTCTCTGTAGTACAGCCTGTCTAAAAAAAAAAGTGGTACAATCAGAAAAAAAATTGGTTAAATATAAGTTCGAAATAAGTCATTCTTACTTGGCATAATATTAAAGAACAAAGACTGGGCTTTCCAATAGTGTCTGTTTGATCTTATTTGCTTTTGTCAATTCAGAGATATAATCAATTTAGTGCGATACACCAAAATCGATTTTGTGCCACTTTTATGCATGGGCAGAGTTGTTTCGAGTACTGTGCCATGCTGTCTTGAAGTTCACAAAAGATTGCAACTTGGCAAAAGAAACAAACTCGATTTGTTCCAGCAGGGGCCTCGACATTAACCGTGGCCATCTGCCGCATGCCCTGCCGAGTTGGCCGCAATATGCCCCTTCATTTTTTTTCAAAACATTCTGCAGTTCTCAGCCAACTTTGCACTTGCCCTTTTTATTCTCGACAGATGTATGAACCAATAATTATTCAACGTTTAACAGAACCCAAAAATCACGGTAAAATGTTTGCAATCGCTGAATTCGGAAGGAAGCGGGGTTTTCCCGGATCGCACTCGCCGGCTGAAGTTGCTTGTATCAGACCAGGGACGTCGCATGGTGCATGCGATCAGTATAGACTGGTTCCTGCCGCGTACGTGCTATAACGAAGTGCTAGTAAAGACTGATGTACCGGGAACAGTCTATGGCCGACATATATAAATCACGGTGGATTAATTTGACAACGTAAAAATCGTAAGCAAACATCTATACCGAAACAGATTTCTTTGAGTTTGTTCACAGAACTTGATCTCTCTTTTCTGTAAATGTATTTTCCGTTTTCCTGTATTCACACTGCTCGTGCCTGAAGCGCGACAACGTAGCGTGTTTCGTAGCACGTGGTTCGTTGTCTGCCCCACATTTCAGCAAAAAAGCACGCTGATTCTGTGCGATATCCGGACGGTGTTGGCAAATTAGCGCAGCGCTTAAGGTCAGTTGGTCTTGACTGCATTGTCAGTGTGCTGTGTTTTTAAGAATCCCCCATGCACCTTAAATATTTTCTGCATTAGTTAAGGCATGGTTAAGGCAAGTTTTCATCACTTTTGGGGATTAAATTTGTGAGCTTTCATGATGTAAATGTAAACAAATGAGGCCGAAAATGCGCATTATGGTCTGCGGGATACTCAGACCTTCACACAAACAAACAAAGTGGCAAAGGAACTCTCTGGCCTACCCTACCGGCCCAATTTTTCTTGGCCTAATGCCGTGCATATAATAGTGGCATGGTGTGAGCAACTTCAAACTCCATATCTGTTAGAAACAGAAACATCGAACGACCTTCAAAATTTATTCTTTAATTATGGCAAGTCTTAAGGGCCCATTTTGATAGCTGTCATTGCGTAAATGAAAATAATTTGGGCTGGAAATGGTGTGCATACTCCACTAAATCAGCGCACCAACAATTAAAAAATTAAAAAGGGAAAGAATGTAGTATCCAGACGCCACTTCAGCGGTTGTGTACAAAGTCTATGGAGAGTCGAGAACATTTTCAAAGTATTTCGTAACAAAATTGGAAATGTTTCTCAGTCCCAGATTCCTGTCTTTTCAACATTGGAATGACTGACCTTTATTGAGATGACAAGAAAAAAATGGCAACAGGTTGCAACATTCTTTTCAAAAAACCAGACCTATCGACTGTATTTTGGAAAGTCATATTGGTTTTGGCTTTTAATTTATATGAACACAGTGATTCTGCATGAATATTGCTGCCGGTTAAGTATGTTAAGTTGTTAACCAAAACAGTCAGTGGTAATTCGGTTTTTGTGTGTGTAAAAGTTCATATTTTAAGTTAATAGATAAACTGTAGATATCATCCTGTCTCAAAATATTGGCTATATGCAATACTTCAGAAGAAAGATTTAGTCAGTTCTACTCTAGGACAAAACAATGATTTTTCTGCAGGACTTTATTTGTTTTATTTATGTTACTATATTATTATTATTATACTATTAAAAAAGGGGCTTGTCACTTTTGAAATTTCAAAGGGCACTGAGGCCAAGTGAAGGGGTACTGAGGCCAACTTTCAAGAATTTAATTCATGGTTTTTTTGCGTAGAGGCCTATACCTTTTTTTTTTTCCTTTCTTTCTGTTTTATTCAAAGATACAATCAACAATTAAATAACAATTATCTATGTACATGTACAGTTAATCGTCCGCTCTATAGGTACTAATGAATTACACACAACAAAACATTCTAACAAAACAGTTTACTCGACATGACGAAACTGCAGTTCCTGCTCAAAAAGGATGATAAGGTTGGAATACTGGCCAAATTTAAAACGACTCACTGTTTGTTTACCTATATTAATTAAAGTATTCAGAAACCGATAACTATTGTATGTTTCCCCGACTCCGAAAAGAATATTTTCCACGGACAGACTGATCGATTTGCCATACTTAGATGCAGCAATCTTTTCGATTTCGTTCCAAAGGGGTTTTACCATTTTACACGACCAAAAAAAGTGTTCAATGTAATCAATACTATCATGACAAAATGTGCAATTTTCTGAATCACTCTTCTTCCTTTTGCAAAGCCAGACTTGCGTGGGGTAACAGTTATGAATGATTTTCCAATTGATTGAAAATGACTTACTGTCTGGACAGCAATAGTTGAGCCTCTTCCATATTACATCCCAAACAAAGTTATGAGTAGGGAATTTGTTTTTCCAAAATGTCTCTGCTATGGGGGTAGTGAATTTCGTGTCAGTAAATTTCTTCCTGATGCGCTTCATATTCATCTTAATTAGCTCATTTCGAACATCAATATTAAGGTTACCGATCGTTTCTTTGGAAAGTTGTTTCCATTCCACGGGAAGGGAATTAATGACAATATAATATTCCAGTAAGTAGTTACCGTTGTTGCCAATGATTTGCCTAATCTGATCAGGGGTCATGAAATTACCGTGGTTGTCATAAAGATGATAAACGTAAATGACACCAGCTGAGATCCAGTTTTTCAGAAAAATCGGTTTACCCTTGAATTTGACTGCATGGTTGTTCCAAATTCTTTGCTTCGCAACTTCAGTAATGTCTGCAGCCTCTGCCCGTGGGTTGACTTCCAGCCATGACAAAATGATG